GGCCGTGCCGCACCCCCCGTGCTTGCTGCGATGCATCCGGTTGCTGCCTGATGCAGAGCACTCTCCAGTTGGTCTGGCGGCATCATTGCACCCCTTGTATCACTCACATGTGTGTACAGCTTCTCCACACCGCTGAAGCCAGTCGCCCGCTCGTGGTGCTCCTTGATCACTCGGGGCAGCTCCTCGAGCGGCACCACGGGGCACCACCGCCACTCTCCGCTGCGCTTGACGCAGCGGCACAGGATGTCCTGACCGCCAGCGCCCTTCAGCACCTGGAAGAACTGCAGCACCTTCTTGCTGTAGTTCTTGGCGCCGCCCTGCACTGCCGCCCCCCCTCCCGCACCCCGCCGCCGCCGGCCTGAGGGCGCCTGCTGGTCGCCCTGCTTGATCCGGATGATGCCCTCTACATCTGACTTAGTGAGAAACACATTCTTGGCGCCGTTTTGGCGCCGTTCTAAGGCATAAAGGATGACAGGTTGGTTCATAATTTTAAATTTGCGGCAGCTGCGGGGTGCGGGAGGGGAGAAATAGAAGCCTTAGAGACTCTGAAAGGCGAAGGAAAGGGAGGGATCGCGGGAGAGAGCGTGCCTGATGAGCCAGACGAATCGGGGGAGGTGCCACATCAGCGGGCAACACGTGGCTTGTGGCATGTCTGCAACCCTTGCTCGATGAGAATCATCATGCCTGCCGCTTTATTCCCAGCAAGCGGCTTGCTGAGTGGACAAATCAGCGCGGGCTGTTGCCGCCGCCAACCGACGCGGAGTGCCCGGACATGGAGCCGCTAGGCGCCAGGCGCCAGAGTGGTGCAGCCATGTCGAGAAGCGTGCCTGCTCAATGCACGCCCCAGTTTGTAGGGACCATGACAATGCGCAGCTTAATGCAGCTGCCGTTGGGCTTGCGCTGCTGAGCAGCCCGCCGCCGAGGCGGCTGGTGGGTGGGACCCTCCCCCCGTGACCATGAGTGTGCCCGTGACCATGAGTGCGCTCCCCTGCCACAATACACGCCGAAATGAGTGTTTTGCAAGCCTCACATGTGCGCAGAGCCCATGCTGCCCTGCTGCGTGGAGCAGAGCAGGAGGCTCGACACCTCTCCTGCTTCTTTGGAGATCTCAGGAGAGCGTAATTCTTCAATTTGGACTGAACACGGGTTTGCTACTCGTGGTCCTCAAGCACCAGGCCCCGACCATCACCCTGCGGGCGGCTGGCCACTGCATGCTGTGACACCACAGGCCGCTGGTCAAGTACAGCCCCCAGCGCAGCGAGGAGGGGACTGCGGTGCCCAACCCACGGCCTGAGGGGCCGCCCCTGAGGGCCGGCAGGCCCTGCAGCCTGCAGCCATGCTGGAGAGGTTCAAGGTGCGGGATTGCAGCCATCTACTAGCTAATGCAGCTGTCGCTGCGTTCTCGCTGCCATGAGCTGCCGCTGCATCACCCTCCTTGCCTTGCGTTTGCCGTGCTGAGGAGGTCGGCACGCCCCTGAATCATGCCATCGTAATGTGCCATGCCAGCCTGAGACACCCGCTGGGCCTGGTGGCTAGCACGAAGCCTTTGGGGGGCCGCTCTCCGCGCCGGCACCCGCCGCCTGTGCATGTGCTGCTGCCCTGCCCACGCACAACTCCCCTCTGTGCACCTGCAGCGGAAGGTGGCCGACGACAAAGAAATCAGCAATGCCATAGCAGGCGGAATAGCGGGTGCGCACCGGCGCGCCTGCGCAGCGCCGGACCCGCCGCCTGGGCTGTCGGGGCTGAAGCAGCCACGATGCATGCAGCTCCCAGCTCAGAATCGCCCTGGCCGCGCACAGCCGGCTCCCCCAACCCCAGCCCAGCCGCTTGCCTGCCTGCCACCTGCCTGGCCCAGCCCAGCCACCGCCACGCACCCGCTCCTCGCCCGCCCGCCCGTTCAGGCGCCATCACCGCGACGGTGGTGTGCCCGCTGGACGTGCTCAAGACGCGCCTGCAGGTGCAGGGCAAGGCGGGCGCTGCCATGTACAAGGGCGTAGGCGGTGAGTTGCTCATCAGGCCGCCCACCCCCACCCCCAGCCCCGCGGCAGCGGGAGGCGCGGCGGCGGCCCAGTACAGCTACGAGGCTGTGGCTGCAGGTGAACGCCCGGCGCAGCCACGCCCCCTCTCTCTCTCG